ATTAATATATAAAATTTATAATTAATATATAATTAATATTTAATTAATAATATATAATTTATATTTAATATTTAATTAATAATATATAATTTATATTTAATATTTAATTAATAATATATAATTTATAATCAATATTTAAATAATGTATAATTTATAATCAATATTTAATTAATATATAATTTATAATTAATATTTAATTAATAATATATAATTTATAATTAGTATACACTTCCTTTTTTACAAAAACTGAAATTAAATTCCTTTTATCTTTTATACAGTTTCATTAAAACTATGCTCTCATTAAAACACACATATTAAATTTCATAAATGTCATTATTTAATTAAATTATTACTTCGAAATCATTACATTTTAATGAATACTAAAGTATAGTGTAGTTAGAAAAGTATTGAAACTAGTTTTTCCTGAAAATTTTTAAGACATAGTATTTGAAGGATTGTAAGCATAACTAGTAACTTCCAATAATGTTTGTGTTTCGCATTATAATTCGAAATATATTAAAAATTTTTTAACACGCGAATTTTAGTTTTAATGTGTACAGTGCAAAAAAAAATAGTCTACCCGGTATAACTTTTGATTAAATGATCAGATATTTACGATCAATGTTAATGGCTCCAGGGGATGACTTCAAATATACTAATTAATAAGTGCAGGAAATATTTTAACTTACGAAATCAAGTGCTAAAATGCACTTTCTCTGAATAAATATACCCCTTTTTTTAAGGTTTCGGATCTCTGACCCCTAAAATCGAGAGGGGGTTATCTGGGAAATAGGGTCCCCGTAGTTTGGTCAGGAGAGCGATCCCATGTTCGGACTCCTTATTGATAATTTTTTGCTCCATATTCGGATAACTTTTTAAGTGAATTGGAAAGCTTATCCATGCATAAAATAAATTTTAGTAAATGTTTTTTATTGTTTTATTTAACAATAGTCGAAAAAATTCTGATTCGTAAGGTTTTTTAAAGTATCATAGTTTTAGATGGCAAAATACGAAATTTGAACGAGTTCCTTGGAAATCGAAAAAAGTCGCCTATTTAAAATCTCTCTGGAACAACCGATTTCATTAAAATTGTGGATATAAAATTAGATACTTTTAAAAAACAATCCAAAAACGACTGTTCTTAAATTATAAATAATTTTTTTTAAATTGGTTTTATCTTTGATTTTATAACTCAGTGTTTTGAATCTCATCTCGAGGTATGGCGGAATACTCAAAATATAAAATTAACGTTAGGGGACCAAACAACTTTCCCTCTAGAATCCGTTGGAAAAAAAACGTATGTTTATTCAGAGGAAGTACGTTTTTGTGTCTGATTTCGTAACTTAAAATATCGCATGCACTGTTTAATTAGCGTATTTTAGAACATCCTCTCCAATCACTATAATGGAGTTCTAAAACGATCCGATCGTATGATCAAAAGTTATTTAGGGTGATTCGTATTTTTGCTCACTGTACACATTAAAACTAAAATTCTCGTGTTAAAAAAATTGAAATACATTTTGAATTATAATTCATAATTAAAGTTACTAGTTGCACTTGTAATCTTTCGAATACTAGGTCTTGAAAATTTTCAATTTCAATACTTTTCTAACTACTAATCTTAAACTGAAACTCATTCAATTAAATCTGATGTAAAATAATTACGAAAGCTTAACATTATGTTAGCATACATAATGTTTAGCTAAGCATGTGTAATAGTTTTATGCTCAAATAACCCTGCGTATCTAAAAAGAAGCTGGGGTTGAAAAGTTTAGAATGGAATTTACTTTTCAGAATTGAAAAAAAAATATTTTGAAGCGTTCTTTTAATCTTCAATTTAAAACTTTCGATTTGGAAAAAAAATAATACATTTTGCTTACTCCACAGCAGAGTTGCGACGACATTGTCGCAGAACATTACACCGTTTTTGTAGAAAGATTTTTCTTTTGGGAAAGGAAAAGTTTTCTTTCTGCATAATTTATCGAAAAACGTTTTTTTTTCTTTTTTTTCTGCAGAATTTTTTTTAAAGGTATCTTTCTTGCTCATCAGAGCGGAAAGAGATAATCATGATTTTTCTATTTTCATTTAAGATTTAAAAAAGAAAGTCGGTAATTACTGACATCGGCTAAAATTTCAAATGAATAATATGAAATAAAAAAAAAATTCAGATATCGCGAAAGTGTAAAGGATAGTTCACTCTAAAAATGTTCTTTCTTTTTTCTTTAAAGAACACCCTATTTAACAAACACTTATTTGAGTATCTCTTTTTTAAAGAGTTCTGTTCTCGTAATCTTTATTTTGGGAATTTTTTCGATTTTTAATTTACGTACAAATTTTAATTTGTGTCATAATTTACAAAATTCGGAAATAATGAGTGCATTATTCCACCTACAAAATGCGAGAATATCGCCTGTAATATTAGAATTTAAAAAAAAAAATACTTGTGCAATTAAAAATGCATGTTTTTTTCTGTAAACACAACGTTGTGATAATTAGAGTGAAAGGATGTATGTAAACATTTATTCTGAATGAATTTGTGTCATTGTAACAGATGTTCCCCTGCCTCCTAAGAATCTGCAGATCAGTGAGGTGAGCAAAGAGAGTTGCCTGGTGTCATGGAACCCACCCGACGATGACGGTGGCAGTGACATCCAGCATTACACAGTAGAGAAGAAGGACATGGAGGGTGGAAGATGGGTTCCTGCAGACGAGACAGTCAACACTTCCCTGCACGTGGACAGGCTCATAGAGATGCACGAATACATCTTCAGAGTGAAGGCAGTCAACAGAGAGGGAAGTTCTCAATGGACCATGACCCGACAATCCATCATTGCCAAAAATCCATTCGGTATAGTTTTTTTTATGTAAATTTGTTTTATATGTATGTGTACGTTCACGCCGTTGCTTGGATAGTGGCTGACAAAATAATCCCCCCACATACGGTATCTGTTGATTGTGGTGAGGAAGTTTCCGGCTCAAGCGCTGGCCGCGTCATCTGACCAGGGTCAAAAGGACGTCACATTTCTTCCAAGGACCGCGATGACTCAGGGGATAGAGCGCTCGTCTTCCAATGAGGCAAACCGGATTCCTATCACAGTCGATACGAGTTCCGACCACAGTGACCGACCACATGCTCCGACCACAGTGGTGACATGTCGTATACTCAGTGATAGACTGATCATGGATGAGAGTCTCCTTGCCGTCAGGCTAACCATGGGAGGTTCTCGTTGTGTTTCTCTCCATGTAACGCAAATACGTGTGAGCTCCATCAAAAAGTCCTCCACGAAGTCAAATATCTCCCAATATTTGATACAAAAGTACTCTCGTCTTCTGGATTGGTTTCAAAAGTACATGGCTACGGAGTTGAAGTTAGATAGTGGTTATCTCAAGAATTAGATCGGCTGTTCAACGGTGGTGATAAAATAGTTTTCAATAGAGCAGTTGCTAGCTTGTAGCTCTGATTCATTAAAAATTAGTTTCATCACACAAAATACTTTACTTTGGATGTCTTAAATTTACATTGTATATAATTCTCTCTATTTCGTTACCCCTCATTAAGAAAACAGTCTTGTCTTGGAATACTGCTGCAACTCTCCCTGTTTTAACTCTGTATGACTGGCAAAGTTTTGATCTGCTTTATCTAGTCCAGTTGGAGCAACACTAAAGTAATGCCTCTGCACGAATAAATTTAGAGTAACATTAACTGTCCAGTGGGGAGAAAATACGGTCACTACGTTGGGACTACTATAGGATCGGATTTCTCGTTTATGGCAACCAGTGCGGGAGCCTTTTCTTTTGCAGGAGGTGTTGGTTGAAGAACCCTTAATACAAACGAGTGACGTATGAATGTTCATAGGTAAAAAGCAGTTCTTTAGAAATGCTAAATAACATCAGTTTTAATTCCGATTATTTTTTTAATTGTTACTTAAATTTTCTTATATGCTATCTATATTTCTAGAGTCAGTATCGAAAATAACCTATATACATCAGGGTGCGTACCGTTTTTAAAAAGTGCTTAAAGGTGTTTATTTTTGATTTAAGTTTTTTAAAAGCCCTTAAAGGTACTTTTTTTTATTCGCGGTTTGTAAAAATTGCTTAATATTCTATCTTGTAAAAAGAAATGTTTTCTTTGCCGTATCGAGTGTCATTCTAAATTACAAAAAAAAACATGATTTTCACAATTTTCTCTGCACTATTTATAAGAAACTAGTTATTTTATCATGATTACGCAATGTTTTTGAATTTTATGTTTATAAGTGAAGAACTTTAAAAGTGGGGAAAAACTTTTTTATTACTGCACAGATCCTAATTATGTTGTTTTTTTTTGGGGGGGGGAAGTGATTAAAAATATTTTTTGAGTGCTTAAAAAGTACTTAAATGGTACTTATTTTGTTGAAAAATGTGGGGAGAGTAGATATCGACAATGTCAACCTTCATCTATGAAGAGGTACCCCGACATAAAATCGAGTTAACATGCCTTATATACTATTGAATTGAAATTGTATTTTTGTAGTGGTAGACACACAGTACTCCCCCCACCAGAATTATATCTGTGATAAAATTTGATAACGGATACCGCTAGTTGATTCATTGCTGTTATGTATTAAGATCCCCCATAATTTTTGAGCAGTCGCGTATATACGAAGCAACAGTGTGAGGAAAACAATGTCGCAAGTCAACTGTTCAATGCGGACCATCCATCGAAGTAGGCGTGTTCAAATCGAAGTGGGCGTTTCTGCCAAAATGTTCACGTCACGTTTGATGACCACCCATGTGGGGAGAGTAGACCTTCATCTTATGAATCGAGTTAACATGTCTTCATATACTAGTGAATTGGAATTGTATTTTTGTAATGGTAGACACACTACAAAAATTTGTCTACGCACCCTGATAACGAATGCTTTAAGAATAGGATGAGTGCAGCGAAGACATTCATTCATTCCATTTTCAGATCCACCGGATAAACCGAGTCCACCTGTGGCCATCGACTGGGATTCTCATTCCATTGAATTGGAGTGGCGTCCACCTAAAAAAGATGGCGGAGCTCCCGTCTCCAGTTACCTCATCGAGAAGAGATTGAAGGGTGCACCCCTCTGGGAAGAGGCGACCAGAGTGACCGGAACTAAAGCCAAGATATCGGATCTGGTGGAAGGGGAACAGTACGAATTTCGTCTGGTGGCCATTAACAAAGCCGGACCCAGTGAACCCAGTGATCCCACACAACCCATAACAGCCAAACCCAGATTTTGTAAGTCTCTGTTTAAAATATTTCTTTCTAACATTCATAGTGAAGTTAAAGTAACGGGTCCAAATATAAGAAATGCAGAACATTGAAGCGTTAAAATAATATGAGTTTAAGTGAACAAAATATAGACAGAAGATCCGATAATGGATTAAAGAAATGAAGCAACTTTTTATTGCAAAAATTACATTTTGAGCCTTTCATTCACATTATATATGACTTAATTTTTCAATGGATTAAGCAAATCACTTCATAAATTTTTTAAACATTTTATATGGTTAATCTTTAATCCGAAACCGATTTTAAAACTGGTGGAGGACACAGAACTACTCTTGAAGTATAACATTAAGTGTAACTGGGTAAAAGCCCGTATTGGCATTCAAGGCAACGAGGAGGCGGATCGAGCAGCAAAAGATGCCACTAGCCTCTGCAAAATCTCAATAGAGGTCCCTAGTTCCGCCGCTCAAATTAAAACTCTGGTCAAGTCACATAACATGATACGCTGGAAGCAAGAGTGGCAGAGTTCTGGGAAAGGAAGGCAGACACTCAAATTTTTTAAAGATCCGAAACTAAATAGACTGCAGGCAAGTTTTTATCTTAACCAATTTTTAACGGGTCATGGAGTGTTCGGAGAGCACCAAAATAGATTTTTTAACAAAAACATCTAATGAAACTACTGTGGTGAACAACAAACTATAGACCACTTAATTCTAAATTGTATTCATTTCCGGACACTTCGTGACAATCATTTTAATAATTTTAACCAACATCAGTGCTTCGCTAACTTGACCTGCAGAAAATTGCTTTTTCCCCTTTTGGGTATACATTCTATGTTTTGACACTGTCAACTTTTACTTTTATACTTGTCATTGCTTTTGACCTTTTATCTGATGCTTTTACTTTTAACTGCCTGTATTGTTTATGTTTTGAGTTGTTGTTGTTGTCCACTCTTGGACCTGAGTTCAAACAGTCCTGGTTTATGTGCTGCTTTGTGCAGCCAACTTATTGCTGAAATACGTAAGGGCTTGTATAACAATATAAGAGTCCGTTGACCTCTAGACTTAATATTTTCTTAATTTATTAGGATCTTTTGACCTTATTTCAATTCGGTGGTTCCCCTTTTTTGTGTTTTAAACGTTTAATTATCATTATCCCTTGTGGCATATTTTGATTTATTTTATTTATTTATTTTTTTATTTTATTGAAATTACATACATTTGCTGACTTGTGTGCTCAATATAGGCTTATAAGTCATTGTCAAGTAGAAAATACAGATAGAACAATTCAGAGAAAGACATCACAAAGAATACATCCAGGGTTACGGCGGGATTCGAACCCGCTACCTCCACGCTTAACAGAGCGTTTGGACCGGCGATACCGCTCGGCCAGGGAGGCCCCGCATATTTTGAACAACGTGTAGTGTATCCCTTGCTGAAATCAAATTGTCGAGCTGTTGCCATGTAACTCATAATAAACTGATCGGAATTTTAACAAATGCCACGGTGGGGCTTCGCCGGGTTCCCCGACCGGCACTGATTGAGCCTGCGCCCCCTCTTCTGGGTGGGCCTGCCGCGGCGACGGTGCATATTTTTAACGCATACCCTGAATTAATAGGGTGGGTCGTTATATATATTACATATATGGTTAATCTTTATTTTAAATCTTGACCCATTAATTATTTAACTGCACACTATACCTGGCCAAATTATGAGACGCATTATTAGATTCTACGTAAAATCTGAATTATGAGGTGATATTTATTGTTTTTATACAACTGAAACCGGTTTTAGTTGTTTACGTTCGCGTATCAATGGATTAACATTGTAATGCAGTACGCTAAAAGTAAATACAAATAGGAAGTATATAAAAAAATCTCATGAATAAAAATCCTTTACATGTATGTATGTCTGAATATGAAAGTATTGCCTGTAAACTCGTGCAAAGCATGCCATTATTATAACACTGTAGTGTATCTAATAATTTGCTCTAATTGTTATAATTTATTAATATAATAGTTGACATAATAAGTATTTCATATTTAAATAACATATCTTCTAATTTATCTAATCTTCGAATATATATTATATATATTATACAAACCGGTTTCAATCGCGTAAAAACAATCAATATCACCTGATAATTAAGATTTGACATAAAATCTTATAGTGCATCTCATAATATGAACATAGGCTGTACCTAGATGAAAATAGCTTCCTAATAATTTAGCTGGGGAGACTATTTAGGCTACTCTTTTTGATATGTAATGCTACTATTTTTCAAAGAAAATTTTAATAGAAACCCCTCATTTGTCAGTTATTTTTTTAAAATTAAAATCCACATGAGGGTGAATATTTGTCATTGTAGTGGCCCCCGTCGTGGATCGCCTGACACTTTTGGATCAGAGGGTCCGTGCTGGACGTCCCATCACCTACGAAGTGTCCATCAAAGGTGAACCACCCCCCATTGCTTCGTGGTCCATCAACGATCATCCAGTCATCGGCAATCCGAGGATTGAAGTGCGTACCACACCCACCACCTGCTTCTTCGAGATTTTGTTGTCTGTTCGATCAGACACTGGAAAGTACACACTCAACTTGGAGAACAGCTCGGGAAGGCTCAGCACATCTGCAACCGTCACTGTATTGGGTAAGTTTTCTGGAACACATGCTTTTAAATGAAATATATACTCTTTTTATGCAAATTTATCCTTTTCGCCTTTCATTCACACTATTTATAACTTAGTACATGATAATGTATTTCAAAAATAAATAAATAAAATAAAAAAACAGAATTTTTATAATTTTTTCTAACTTTGCTATTTCCTCTTTATGGTTTTTGAGCATTCGATGCTTAGTAATATAGTCTGAGTAAACATTTTAAAGCTTAGACTATATTTTTTAAGCACTAGTTATTTTAAAAATTGGTCAAACCAGCTTGGTTCGGACACGTCACATGGTTGGTTAACATTTTCAGGATAAGTGCTATGTAGAGCTATTAGATGTGCGTTAAATCTGCATCCAGGCGTGTGGGCAGTATGTATGACCCAATGAAATGATCGTGCACGATTTTGACCCAAATATTTAGAGCGAAACGTGGATAAAATGAACGTGGACGTATTGCGCGCACGTTTTTAGTGCCTGCCCAAAAAAGTGGTGGATATTCGAAATACCCATGCGTGTGAATTTGCATTCGTCAGTGAACAACACATGTGCACAAAAGTCCAGATCTATTGCCGTCTGTTGGAGAAATCACGTGCCGAAATGAACGCGTGGTATAATAGACACGTGCCTGGTCATCCGATGGTTCTAGGCCCCGAAATATCTGCGCATGATAGGGATACCTTCTTTCATCTCGCAGGTCTCGCCGCACTGTATGACGGGAAACGTGAACGGCTCTCGACAGTGTCCGCCTGACAGATTCATTCTTTTTGTTGATACGATGCACAATGTCACCCGATGCAGGTGGCGTTCTTACACACTCCTGCCACATTCGGCATCCAGCATGCAAGTGGATGAAACATGCAAGTTGAATCGCAGAGTTGTTGGTGCAGTCGTTGAAATGTCATCGCATTAGGGAAGCGTCAGGGGCATCAGGGACACTTTTGGTATGATCTTTGAGCTCCCCTTGCATTGCAGTTTTGTACATGTAATGCATCTCGGTCATCTCATGATTTGAGTACGCATCCATCTCATCGGTGATCCGCAGAGCGAACGCAGACATCCGCTGTGAATAGTCTTTTGATAGTGATCACTGTAAAGCACCCTAATAGTGCGTTGCGTTCGGACCAGGATAGTATAGTGATGTGTGCTTGCCTAGTTGAAACCCCTAACGTATATACCATAATTAATAAGTATTTGGGAGCTTGAAGGCGGAAAGATGCTTCATATTAAAGTTGTAAAATCGTACCCCTGAAAGTTGATGAACCTAACATGAGTATTGTCGTTAACAGACAGACCCACTGCTCCAGTCGGACCCTTGAACGTGAGTGAAGTGACCAAAGACTCGGCCCTTCTGTCTTGGAAACAGCCAAAAGATGACGGCGGCTCACCCATCAAATATTATATGATAGAGAAGATGGACACTTCCCGCGCCACGTGGATGGAAGCTGGTCAGTCCACGTCCCTTTCTTTCAAGGTCCAGAATCTGGTCCACCACAAATCCTATCAGTTCAGAGTGTTTGCCGTCAATGAGATTGGAGATTCAGATCCCTTGGAAAAGGAAGAGGGCGTCACTGCCAGAGATCCCTTCGGTAATCATCTTAAATTTCGTCACTACTTGCAATTATCTAAATTGATAGAGTAAAGTTGTATGAATACGTTATTTTCTCAATTTTACAGAACCTCCGAGCACTCCTGGTAAGCCCAAAGCGACGGACTGGGGTGCCGATTTCATCGAACTGTCGTGGACCCCTCCAGAGGAAGATGGTGGATCCCCCATCACAGGTTATATCATTCAGAAGAGAACAAAAGGATCGAATTTGTGGGAGAAAGGAACAGAAATTATCGGCAACGAAGGAAAAGGAAAAGTGCCTCATTTGATCGAGGGACAGGATTACGAATTCCGGGTGATCGCTCTCAACAAAGGAGGACAGAGCAACCCTAGCGAAGCATCGGAACTTATAACTGCTCGTCCAAGATTCTGTAAGTTTCTTCTTCATTGTTATAGCTGTTTTAGCCTTTCTCGTGTCTGATAATGGGGTTCTTTTAAATAGCCTTAGCAGCAAAACAACTTGTGCCCTCATTGGACCCATATTCACGAATCTTGGCTCAATTAGGGCTCAATGGGCCGTTATTCATCAGCTATGGGTCCTATATAGAAACGGCCAATTCATACGATATTTTATTGCCGTTTTGATTTCAATATAGGCCCTATATAGTATTGTCAGATTTATATACATTATTCAGCCAATATAGAACTTATATTGGCTCTATATAGGCCGATATTGCCTTGATATAGGACCCATATTAAAATATCTAGACTTCCCAATAGGGGTCCCTTGATGTATGTTCATATAGGACCATAGGACCCATAGTGTGCCCATTTTGAGTCCAACTGGGGCGAAGTTAAAATTGTTGCAAGGGATATAGTGGGAGTATCGTATTATCGAAATTGGGAATAATAGCAGGATAACTAGTTGTCTCAGGATTAATCGATGTTGTTTGTTGTCAGTGTCACCGAAGATCGTAACACCCCTGAAGGACATTGAAATCAAAGTGGGTGATGTTCTTCACGTAGAAGTGAAGTTCGTGGGTGCCCCCGTGCCTCAGGTCACCTGGACTGTGAATGACAAAGTACTGGAGTCTGACAAGAGAGTGTCCATCTCTAATTACGAGAGTTACACCCTCATTCACGCCATCAACGCCAAGCGTTTGGACAGCGGGAAGTACGTCCTCCATCTCAAAAACGATTCCGGAAGTGACGAAGGCACACTCAAAGTGACTGTTCTGGGCAAGTTAACTCTTCATTCCACATTCAATTATTTTACCTGTTACTCTATAATAATAATAATAATAATTGATATTCACATGTGTAGCGAAACCCAGTGCCCCTGAAGGACCGCTGGAAATCAAAGATATACAAAAGGATAGCGTTACCCTTGCGTGGAAACCTCCGAAGGACGACGGTGGCAGTGATTTAGTGTAAGATTTCATTTCACATTCATCTAAAATACAGTCGTTGGCCAAATTATTAGACGTACTCTAAGATTCTACGCAACACTTTAATTATCACGGTATACTACACAGCGTTAGTGTTTTTAAGAGACTGTTTACACTTGTTTACGTTCGTCTATCAATGGGTTAAAATTTGTAATGCAATACGTTAAAAATAAATACAAATAGGAAGTCTATAAGAAAATCTCCTGAATAAAAACCCATGACACGTATGTTTAAATATAAAAGTATTGCATACAAACTCGTGCAAAGCACGTCATTATTGAAACGCTACAGTGCGTGTAATAATTGGATCTAATTATTATAATATACTAAGATAACACCTGGTGTGATAAATATTCGATATTTATATAATATATCGTCTTATTTAACCCATTGATAGACGAACGTAAACAAGTGTAAACCGGTTTCAGTCGTGTAAAAACAAAATTTTATAGTACAGTACAGAACCCGTTATCCGGAAATCAGAAAACCGGAAAACCAAAAAACCGGAACGAAATTCGATAAATTTTCCCGCCATTTTTTAAAAAAAAATTTTTTCCTCATAAGATTTTAGGATTTTTCTTTATTTTTTGAAAGATGTTTACCATACCATCATTTTAGAAATAATCATTACTGTATTACTTCATCGTTTTTCCTTTTTCTTAAGATTATTTTCAAACATTTTTTTTTTAGTTGGGTTTAACAATAAAAAAACGGCTTTTTGTAGCGATTCAGAAAACCGGAAAAATCAGTTATCCGGAATAGCGATGGTCCCGATCGTTCCGGATAATCGGTTCCCTACTGTATCACCTCATAACTAAAATTTTACATTAAATCTAATAGTGAGTCTCTTAATTTGGCCATGGATCTTGAATACCCCGAGCTTTGACATGTTTCTACTAACTTATATCTTACAAATGAGTATTCATACAATGCGCAATTAGATTGAACAGAACGGTTCTGTCTATTTGACTGAAGGAATTTCTGATAATTCTTATTGTTTCAGACAGTCTCTGGTTTTGCGTTTTTCCCTACTGAAATATTTAATTTGCTATTCCTAATGTTTTTCTTAAAGGTCGGAAATGCAGATCAGTTCTATGGTTAAGGTTCAAAAAGTGCTTAAAGGTGCTTATCGGTGATTTACTTTTTTAAAATCTTAAAAGGGCGTCGAGGTTTGTAAAAAGTGCTTACTTTTCTATCTTTTAAAAGAGATTTATCGTTCGATCTATCGATTATCGTTCTAAATTACGAAAAATGCATGATTTTCTCAATTTTCTCTGCTTAGAAACTAGTTATTTTATCATGATTGCGTAAAGTTTTTGAAAATGTTTTTGAATTTTATTGAGTTAATGTTCATAAATTAAGAACTTTATACGATAGAAAAATATAATTTTTATGACTGCAGAGACCCTAATTATATATATATACAGGGTGTTCCAAAATTCTCTTTACAACTTCAAAAATTCATAACTTCGAAAATAAACAAGATATTTATATTCTGCCTTTTGCATGTATTACTGCAACTAATAAAGTTTTGTTTAGTACACTTCAACATGCGCACCATTGGTGGCCCTAAGCACTTCCAGTCTGTAATAAATTTCAAGCCAGGTGATGTAAAGATAATTTTGAAACACCCTGTATATATATATTTTTAGAAAGTAGTTAAAAATATTTTTCGAGTGCTTAAAAAGTACTTAAAAGGTGCTTATTTTTTGCTCCAAAATCTGTCAATGCACGTTGTAAGAGGAGTGCGTTGAAGGTAACTGATTGACCTGTTCGCGTGAAAGTGATTATAAGGAATGCAAAATTGGATGCATCTAGAAATATAGTAATAATTATATGGTTTTTAGTGACAGAAGGTCTTTCCTCATCCGCTGTTAATGGCAAACAGTTGTGATTAAATTCTTTATAAGTTTTTTTAAAGGGTGCGCAAAATACAAAACGAACCACCCTAAATAACTCTATAATGATCGGATCTTCAAGTTCTAGGACTTCTTTTTAATTATTCGAGGTGATGACTTCAAAAATGTTAATTACTACAGATGATATTTTAGTTACAAATCAGACACAAAAACGTACTTTTTCTGAATTAACTTGAACTTATTTCGACGGATTCGGATTTCTGATTCAAAATGTAGGGAGTAGCCGCAAACTGGGAAATATGGTCTCCATAATTTGGACTCCTTAAAGTTTATTCAATTTCTTTTTTTGTATTTAGCTTTTCTAGGATATCTCAAAGACTTTTTAATCGAATTGAAAAATATTTGTAATTATGAAATTCGTTTATCCACAGATAATTCCATGAAAAACAAAACTTTTAGTAAATTTTTATTATTTTATTTAATAATGGTTGAAAAATTATGAATAACAAGATATAAAATTACTTACGTAATTTTAAAGAATGCAATTTTGCACGTCAAAATACGAAATGTGTGCAAAATCACTCAAAAATAGTTCCCTGAGAAATCGAGTTTTTAGAGAAGCCGTATTTTTTAAATTCAACTTCTCTGGAACCTATTTCGCTTAAATATTGTTTTTTTTTTGCCATCTAAATTTACATTTTTAGAAATGGCGTTAAAAACAGCATATCCTGCAATTCAAAAATTTTTTGAATATTTTTAAATAAATAATAAAAAGTAATAAATGTTTTAGTTATATTTTTCGTGGAATTATCTTTGTATTAATGACTTTTATAATTGTGTGCAAAAATTTTTAAATTCACTCGAGATGTGACAAAATGTACAAAAAATAAGACTAGCATAAAGGGGTCCAAACTTTGAACTTCATTCTCTTGATAAAACTATGGGACCCCTATTTCCCAGTTTGCCCCTACATTTTGAAGGGCAGAAATTTGAATCCATCGAAACACAATATCGTCTACGCTAATTAATTGGCTAAAACTTCTAAGATTGAGTCCTAAAACGTAAATCAATAGACCAAAAGTTATTCCGTTTTTTCTACTTTGCTCACTCAACATCCAACGAATCAATTCATTGAAGAAATGATTCGACGTCTTCATTCATTTCCTCTTTTCATTTCAGTGCTTATATTATTGAGAAACGAGATAAATCTCACAATGGTCCATGGGTGCCAGCACTCACCATTCCAGCCAAATCCACAACAGCCGAAGTGCCAAAACTCATTGAGAATACAAATTATGAATTTAGAGTGAGAGCCAAGAACGCTCAGGGACTCTCTGCAGCCCTAGAAACTGAAAGATCTGTTATGGTCAAAAATCCTTTCAGTAAGTCTCTTTTTTTTGTATCATTTAGGTTACGTCCAACTAAATTAAGGTAATTTGGGGTTTTGTCCAGCTACATGTTTTCTCAACAGTGCTTTTACTATAATATGTGTGTGTTTTATTTCCAGAGCCCCCGAGTCCACCGGGACAACCTGAGCCCGTCGATCATGACCGTGACTTCATCAAGATCAGTTGGTCTCCGCCACTGAAGGATGGAGGTTGTGATATTATTGGATATGAGATTGAAAGGCGTGACACGAAATTGAACAGATGGGGAACGGTTACAAAGGATTTGGTGAAGGTGATTCAATATTTATTTATATCTGAATCAGGAGAAAATTGATCAAAAAAGGATTCTTTTCTAATGAAATAAATGTAATCATTGGAATTGAAAAAAAAGCAAAATATGATCACGAAACTATTTACTGATGCAATGACAATAACAGAGCATTTATTTACGTTTTATTCAAATGAGTTACTTATTTGAAACAATTAATGTTGGAAAATATGAAGATTTTATTAATGTTTCTAAACAGTAATGCCCATTGAATTCATAAGTTTTGTTTTTTAAAAACGTGTAGTATGATTTATGAAATATTTTTAAGCATATGTTGATTGGAAATTTTGAAACTGTACAATAACAAAAAAATATAAAGTACTGGCTTAAAAACAGTACTTTACCCTCGTAAAAATAAAAATAATAGAACAAGTATAAAATAAAACATCTATAGATCAGTGATTCACTTTACTTGCAAGTAAACTCTTTCAAATATTTCAGTTGAAAATCAAAATTTTAAATTGTTTTTTGAAAAACATCGAACGGGGAAGATTACGAATATTGAAACGTTGTTATCATTAATGTAACATTTCTATACTGTAAACAAATTGTGAGATTTCTTTACATATCTGTTTTGTAAAATTAAAATGAGTGCTGAAAGAGACTTCATGAATTTCAGAGTTGTAACTTCACTGATCACATGGTGACTGATGGTCATTCCTACGAATATAGAGTAACTGCTCATAATGTTGCTGGCTATAGTGAACCTAGTCCAGCCTCAAAACCAATTACAGCAAAACCAATGAAAGGTATGTTCACTGCTTCTTAAGAAATATCATTATTTTTTTTTAAGTCAAACTGAGTGATTGCTCTAAAAATGGGAAGCACTTTCTGTAATTCTTTTGGTTCAAGGATTTGAGTGGTTATAACACAAGATTTGCTGTTACAAGCAATTTTATCAACTTGTTTTGACTTCTCCTTGAACACATTCTAAAACTCATAAAAAATTCTATGAAAATATGTTACGTGTCAATAACGGTGATAGGTAGATTTCACTTTTGAATGAGCCAAATAAGTGATTCGGGTGTTTGGATTTCAAATCTGAAATGACCGTTGTGCGCGACTAGGGACGCCTCCCCCTTTCAAAAGTTCACGACAGAGCAATTTCATCCGCCAATAGATTCATCTGACTCTCCATTCCAGATTCATATGATTCTCCTAGCGGCGTATGATGACATTCACTGGCATTAGTTCTTATTCAGTTATAATCCTGATGATGAGTCCTCATTCCCCCAGAAGTTTGTCACAACATTAACACACTATCCGTGTCACATATAAAGTATTTAAACTAGTACATTTTTAAAAAAAACATAGAATAAAAGTGCAATTAAAAAACTGTAGTTTGGAAGGAGAAACTGATTGCATAATTGAAATCAATGATATGAATGTATCTTGAGAACTGTTAAAACAATCATATGAAATCGATAAAAAGAAATAGCTCCCCCTTATTATTCAAAAAAACATTTTGACGATTTTTTTTCTTCAATTTTACTTAAAATCTTTATGTAAGTTTTGCAGGCTATTACGAATCATTTTGACGATTTCGTTGTCAATACTGCGGTGTTATCATTAAGTCGTAAAATTCCTGTTTTTGAAATTCATTTTGACGATTTCGTTGTCAATACTGCGGGGTTATCATTGAGTCGTAAAATTACTGTTTTTGAAATTCATTTTGACGATTTCGTTGTCAATACTGCGGTGTTATNTTACGAATCATTTTGACGATTTCGTTGTCAATACTGCGGTGTTATCATTAAGTCGTAAAATTATTGTTTTTGAAATTCATTTTGACGATTTCGTTGTCAATACTGCGGTGTTATCATTGAGTCGTAAAATTACTGTTTTTGAAATTCATTTTGACGATTTCGTAGTCAAGATTGCTGTGTTACCATTGAGTCATGAAATTACCGTGTTTAAAATTTTCGTTTAGTGTGTTAAAAAAAAATCCCCCCCCCCAAACATTTAGGTGTGTTATGAGAGCCGTGGTGGCTCAGGGGATTGAGCGCTCGCTCTCAACGAGGGGAAACGGGTTCGAATCCAGCAATGGATGGTTGATTCTAATTCCGCACCCGACTCGCACCGACCTCAGTGCTAACGTAAAATATCCTCAGTGGTAGACATATCATGGGTTAGAGTCCCCTTGCCGTCAGGCTAACCGTGGGAGGCTGTCGTGGTTTTCCTTTCCATGTAACCCAAATGCTGGTTAGTTCCACCAAAAAAATCCTCAACGAAGACAAATTTCACCGAATACTTGATCCAAGATCTTCTGCATTGTGTTCAAAATGACAAGGCTACGAAGTACATTTGTAGTCGTAGACCCAAAATTGGGTCGGTTGTTCAGCGGCTATAAAATATAAAAGTGTTTAAATTTAATTCCTTCATCATTGGATGTATACATGGATATAATTATGTAGTTTTGCTTGACTCATTTGAAAAGAATCTTTCACCTCGTTTCAGAAAAACCGAAACTTCACCTGGATGGTTTGTACGGGAAATTCATTCGTGTTCGAGCTGGCGATCCTGTTTACGTAAACATTCCTCTGACCGGCTCTCCTGTACCGACTGTCAGGTGGACACACAATGGTCAACACCTGCAGGACACTCCACATACAAGGCAAGAGATACGCGATGAGGAACTCATCATGCTGACCATTCCTAAATCTGAGAGGACAGACAGTGGACTCTACAACATACAGGCTAAGAATGCATATGGTGAAGATTCAGCTGACATAACATTGCTCGTATATGGTGAGTCAGATCGATGATTCCTCCTAATATTTTCTTTGATATCGCTGCTTTATTGTGTTTTATAAAGAAAAACGATAAAATGGTATATTAAAATAAGAAATTTATTCTAGCATGACCCTCAATTGACTACCCCTACTAAAAAATTTCCAAGGACCCTGAATAAGGCAAAAAAATTAATTAATTAATGAATAAATAAGATCAGCTTGAGAACTGAAAAAATGAAGCTCACCAAATCCTGGGTTTGCTTTTTGGTCTTCACTTGATGAATGCTTACTTATTTTAATCTGTATGAATAGTGCTACATTTTTTATAAAATTTCTTAAAATATGAAACATTTGTGTAATAGTCATTTTAAATTGGCACAAAATGTGTTTCTGCTATTTACCTATTTTTCTGTGATCAAAATAAATGAAGCAGGTCTTCGTTTATTTACTATACTTAATTGCAAATCATTTTTTTTTTTACGTTCTGTTGTTGCCTTTGAAAATTGTATTTTTTCTGCTTGTGCTTTAACTTTTGAGACTATTTTAACAACCGCAGGCGTGGATTGCTGCTTAAAAATAAAAACTCTTATAAGCGTGCGTGATGGAGAAGAAGCAAGATTTGAATAAATAAATATTTAATGAATAGGGTCGTCAAACATGCAAGTTTAAAATACCAAGGAGTTGAAATTTGACGCTTCATCGTGGTTTGTTTTTTCTTAAACCTCGGAAAGAACTTTATGTGCCTCTATTTCTTCCCACTTTATTTTTTGCTTTAAAACAAATTTTTATACATTGTCTTAGAAAACTTTATTACTTTCTTCATTATATAAGCTCGAATTTCGCTTAATGTCAACAAAGATTAAATAAGAGTATCGTTAATGAATTCTCATTTATTTCTTTTCTGTTTCAAGTACAATTGGATTAACATATTAAGAAAAGATTTTTACTTGAAATTTATAATTATGTCTTTTATGAACAGAAGAACTTTTTTTAAATTAAAATAGTGGCTTTTAATAAAAAAAATGGAGGAAAAAAATCAGTTACAAGGGTTGGTGAGCGGTGCGAAGAGAGGGGGTGGTATTTTTCATAAAAATGAAGTTGTAACTAATCACAATTTCCTTTACACCTACTCATTCAATTTAAAAAAAAAATAGAAAAAAATTGTGAGGCAAAACTGTCATTGAAAAACACAACAGAATAACAAAATGTATTTTCAGACAAGCCCTCCCCCCCACGAGGACCTCTAGAAGCTGTTGAAGTCACAAACAATTCCATCTCCCTGAAATGGATGAAACCGGAAGATGATGGCGGATCAGAATTGACAGGTACATCTTCTTTCATAAACTTTAAATTTTCGTCTACAAAAATGTTTCGAAGCAAATTTACGAGAGCTAAAATGATTTTATTTAAAAATGTTTTTAACCAATGCAGTTTTAAACCAAATGTTTTTCCCCCTAAAAATTAATTTCTCTAAACTCTTTTTTTTTTTTTTAAATAATCTTTTTTTTTTTAATTTAATTTTTTATTATTTATATAAATAACTTTAGTTTCAATGGCATCGAATGAAAAAAAATTTCCATTCTAATGATATATTGGAAGAAAAAAAAAAGGTTTTAACAAAATATTTTTTTTTGGTGATTATTTTAAGTCTGTTATAATTGAAATGTTTGAACTGTTTTTAAAGGTTTCATATTGGAGAAGTGTGATATTGGTGGTGACAAATGGCTTCCCACTGGTGGCTATTGTCCAAATCCGGCCTTCACTGTGAAAAGTTTGGATGAAGGAAAGCAGTACCGGTTCAGAGTGAGGGCTGAGAACATATACGGCATAAGCGAACCTCTCGAGAGTAAACCAATCACTGCAAAGAATCCATTCGGTAACATCTTGTGCTATTTTATACCACATATATTTCAGGAAATGAATGCTGCACCATTTCACTAAAAATAATACACTTGATTTCAGTACCTCAATCCCTACTATTTGTTCACCCTATATCAAATGTTCAACATTTTACTCATCCAACTCGAGTTTAAATACATTTTTTTTTAAGTGGAGGACACTCGATGTTAATGTACTTTTTTCAAATATTAATTCATTCATAAATTAATGTTTTATTTGTGGGGAAAAAATTGTAATTATTTCGTAAAAAGTAACTAAAGTTTTTCTTTGTTGATCTCAGTAGGAATTGACTTTTATATGAATTGTTTCTTAAAAATTAATAACTTCAATTTTTAAACTCACGGCACGTTCATTTATACTATATGTATGAATCTCATCTGAATTTATAGCACATCAGAATATGCATTAATTTTTTTCAATACATGTCATTCTTTACTTTTAAGATTTGTGCTGTGATGATTTTACCATCACTAAAACTTGAACCTCGCCGTTTCGATTGAGGTGCCCCACATAAAAAAAATCAGTGGTAGACCTCTCCATGTGGGTTCATTTCATCCACGAAGACAGCCTTCTGGATTGGATTCAATATGACAAGGAATGGCTGTTAAACGACGGTGATAATATAGAACGTCTTCAGATGCTCTGATGACGATATATTTTGGTGAAAAGACGACCCTCCTGCATATTTCACGACCATCAATTATTAAAGTGATAAGTTTGATATTTTTTTCTCTCATCATCATTTTTAAAATTGTTGGGATAACACGTGGGAGACCGAATCGTTTCATTTTTCCTCACTAAAAAAAAATATAACAACTATTAAAGAATCTCATTGGGGCCTTTAATGAACGTTTTTCTTGAGTGATATCATTAGATGAGTTGCATCAGCAGACTGATTTACAAATGTGACTTTTATGCATTTTCTTTTCTTAATTCTCATACAAAAGAAATGAAGTAAGTATTTTTAAAATCAGTCATTTTTTATAGTATTGTGGTAGTGTATTTTAAGGCCTATAGATATACAACAATACTGAAATGTATATTAATAAATGATTTCGCACTTGTTTTTAATTCTTCATTTTTTTAAAAAAAAGCATCAGCAGACTAAAATATCCAATGAGCGAGCGATGAAAAAGAAAGATTATTTTAAATGAACGTATATTAAATAAAAAAATAATCATATTGTGTGATCAGTTTTATTTATAATATTTTTATGATGTAAGGACAACATTTTAGCAAAGGGTCGCATCACTTTCTATTTTTACGTAAGTTAGAAAGTAATGCAATTTAGTATTAACAAATTCTTTTATTTACGTTATACACTATAATAACAATACGTATTCATTATTATAAGAATGCATACTATATACTATTCTTAATAAATTATTATAACAAATATGCATTATGACTAACATAAATGTTTGGATTATTCAACTGAATACATTTATCGTATCAATAATTGTATAAATAATAATTGTAAAATTTATGATTAAAATTGACACACTTTGAATGAGCCCTCTTTGAATTATAATTTTAAATGGATCCATTTTTTTGACTTATTGTAGTTTACGCTATTGATTGCATTGAAAGTTGCAATTTCTTTATAATTGCTGGTAATGGGTATTCTTCCATTCATTTCAATATAACACCCTTTATGTATCTACCTCTTCGGTAGTGTCTAAATACTTTTTCAAACATTTTTACAGTCATTTTCAAAGGCAGTTTTATCCAGATGGTTAAAATAATATTAATTTCAATTGTATTTAAGAAACGATTTCATAGTTCAACATCTACCTAATTACACTCTTCAGAGTTTAACTAAGCTTTTTAGGAGTCTTTCATTTGTATTTGCCCTCCTAGTTCAATTATTAATTCCCCTAATTGAAGCATTGGATAATTTTTTTTTTTATCATAGTATTTTGTAATTTGAGCTGCTTATTTGATTGAATGCTTTTTCAAGTATTTGTTCCTACTTTCTCGTTAAATGGTGTTACTGAATGCTGCATCTTTAAAAGGAAGGATTCGGAGGAATAAAATGTCACTAAGTTTAGTCTTCTGTTACACAAAATGGATGTGGAGCCAGCTCATTAGAAGACTGCAAAAACAAATGCTTTTACGAACATTAGAAAGTGTTCTTTTTATTCAAACGAGTTCCTAAATGTCACAGCATCGAATATTAATAACTATTTTCGTAAATAAATCGTTCTATAGGTTCGTTATACTGATTAATAGTTCATAAGTTATGATCATTAATAGCTATAAAATGTTCCTTTTTCAGACACCCCAGATCCACCGAGTCAACCGAAAGTTTTGGATCATGGACCCACTTTTGTATCATTATCCTGGCAGCCTCCAGCACATGATGGTGGAAAACCAATTATTGGTAATTTTCTCTGCAATAAGTTTTCTGCTCTCTTATTGTGAAATTAGTCTTTTTTTTTTAATTATAAAGCAGAAGTGATTATCGACTTAACTTACAAAAAGAAAAGAATATTTTTAATGTAAATATATCTGCTTTGTTACCACCAACACGTGTAAGGTTTAATGTTTTGGAAACAATTCAAGAATCATGCTTTGTTAGGTGTATAGCAGTTCAAAATATTAAAAATTACCCGAAAAATACTGTCAGCATCGTACAGTAAGAAGACAATTGGCTACACACAAGGAAGTTATGGATTAAGCGTTTGTTTTGAAAAATACCATTCGAATGTTTATATTGGAACAAAAAGTTATAACTGTTTCTACGAAAGAGAAATAACTTTCTGAAACAAAGTGTATGTTTGAAAAGCAATATTAAAATAATCAATTTGCTGATAGAAAGAGAATTTTCAATGAGGTGATGAGTTCTTTTCATACATATTTCTTTTCTACTTTTGATATATGCTTAGAAAAACAGCAACAAAGGACATATAAAGTCAAACTGTAAATATTACATTGATAAATTAGAAATAAGTGTTTATTTAAAAAATAATAATGTGATGCCGCATTATATACTTACTAGCTTTTAAAATTTCTTTTTTTTCTCAAACTTATTTTTTTAATCATTCTCAAACGAATTTTAACTAAATTAAATTAATTAGTTAATTTTTATTACATTTTATAAAAAAGCGAACATAAAATATTTTATTCTTTTCTTATCGATCCATGTAATGGCTCACTTTTATTTTCAATATTAATGTAGACTCATCAATTCACTAAATCGAAGACAAAAATCTATTTACAACTCTTTATTCTTTATTTCTTATCACAAAAATGTCTCAGTTACATAGTTCTACTAATTCTCACAGTCTTGTTGGCTATTCGCGATAGCCAAAGTATTTTCAAATCTATTGATTAATGATTGGTTGGCTTTATTTTTTGGCAATGTTATCTTTCGACGAATCACCCACTTTGGATCTCTTCCCATTCCCCTAACAGTCCGTTGGGAACAATTCACTTTCAAATTCTAATTTTAGGCGACTGGGGGATGCCTTTTTGGGCATCCCGGTCCTAGCCATTGAATATGAAATGGTAACTAAAACTCTCGATGTAAGCGAATGTTTTATCTTGTTCCTTTTATACAGGATTTCTTTTCTTTATTATTTTAATATTTTTGAATTATGACCATTTTCAATACTTAATAAATCAATTTTTCTTAAACGACCATTATCATGTTATCACATCCAAATGAAGATGTAACGGCCAGAAAGTACAAATATACTCATTCATTTAAAACGATCTCCGTCCTAACAAATAATATTGCATACTCTATTCCAGGGATGGGGAAACTACGGCCCGTGGGCCAACTGTGGCCCGCCGGAAGGTTTTATCCGGCCCGCGGATATAATTTTAATTTGCCAATCAGTGGCAATATACATAAACAATATACATCCATTTTCTTGTCAACTATTTAAAATTATTTCTGTTTTTCCTTTTTTAACAAAGTACTGATNTGGAAAACCCCTTTCAGATTTCTGTGCCGAAACCTCTGTAAATCATTGGCTTGATTGGGGAACTGGTAAACGTCATATTTGATTCATTTAAAAAACGCAGTACCCTCGGATAACTTGACATTCCAGATAACTTGACCCTTGTCAATTAAATTATTTCATAAAAAAAATACTAGTTTACTATTAGTAACCTAGTATTTCTTTTATTACTGTATAATGTAATCCTAGTAACGACTAATTCATTGTGCAATTTATATAAATGCTTGTAATAAATAGGAGAAAATTATATTTTTATTTATTTAAAAGCTACGGGTTAGTTTCAACGGAGGACGGGTGCATTGTTTTTACAAGCCGTCCTCGGGGACGGGTAAAATTTCTGAGTTTTTTCGAGCCCTGCATGTTATCACATCCAAATGAAGATGTAACGGCCAGAAAGTAAAAATATACTCATTCATTTAAGACGATCTCCGTCCTAACAAATAATATTGCACACTCTATTCCATTTCTGTCAACATCAGAAAGGAATGTTATTGGATGGTAATTCTTTTTATCCTTCCATACACTTTCAAAACAGGATGCTTTATTTACAGGCTACCTGGTCGAGAAGAAAGAGAAAGGAACACAGGAATGGGTGAGAGTGTCGCAGTTCCCCATTCCCGAAACTGAATTTGTAGTCCCGAGTTTATCCGACGGACAGACATACGAATTCAGAGTATTGGCCGTGAATGAGGGAGGGGCAGGCAAACCCAGTAAACCCACTGGTCTCGTCAAGGCAGAGAAGAAAAAGTGTAAGCTTCTTTCTTCTAATCTCTCAAAAAGAAAGTTCTAATAATAATAATGATTATTTCTTGATATTGAAGATCCACCATCGATGCCGGAAGCGCCACACGTCGACAAGATCACCAAAGACAGCGTCACTCTGTCCTGGCCTAAACCGGATGACGGAGGAAGTAAAATACTCGGTTATTACATCGAGAAGAGGATGGCACAAGCCAAAGAGTGGGACATCATCAACAACATCTTGCACGTCGATAACACGTGTTTCGTGGTAAACAAATTTTGTTATAATCTCATTAAATGGCCGTAATAGCCTGGTGAGTAGGGCACTGGGCCCCATGTCAAGTACCCTACAGAGATCGCGGTCTCCCATGTAGTAACTGATGCACGTTAAATCTGTTGAGTCACAAAGTTCTCCATGCGATTATCACCATTCTTTTTTTCTTCTAAATATCTTCTTGAAGACGTATGTAGATAGACGTCATTCCACAGCATGTTTCAAAACTTTGAACACTATTTTTTTGCGTACACTATAAGGGTGTTCATTTTTAGAGTGTACATAATTTCGCTACGATTTAGTGCGATGTTTAAAGCTGAAATTTTATGATATCGATGTATACTAATTGGAATGCTCGGTTGCCGATGGTGTGTGGAATGAAATTAATTTATATTTACCATGTAAAACAACAATTCGGCGTTTTAATGGAGTCATTTAAATGTGTGAAGATCTTTGAAAGATGCAACTTGGAAGGAAGCGTCTCTGAAGTTTTTTGAATGCACTCAGTAAACCATGGAGATGCTGCTCAAAATATTCAATAATTGCCTACTAATATCTTTTTACGGAATTTAAATCATTGAAAAGTATAAATCGACTTTATAAGCAAACAGTAGAAAATAAATAATTGTTTTCCTTCTTGGATTGAGAAGTCTTAATAAATTTTTGTTTAAGGTTCCTGACTTGGTGGAGGGAAAGGAATATGAATTCAGAATAATAGCGATGAATAATGTGGGAGAGAGTCCACCCAGCAAACCCAGCTCAATGATTCTAGTGGAAGAACAACCAGGTACACAATTATTGTTCTAATTGGCTTCATTTGGAAGATTTAATTAAAGTTCATCTATTTAAATAAAACAACTGGGTCGCATCCTTCAAATAAATAAATAACGGGAATTTACTTACTAAGCAAATATTTTTTTATTTATGTTATAGCTAATTGATACAATTAAACCATTTTACTAACTTAGCATTTATGATTAAACCAACTTAGCATTATAACATTTATTTTTCTTCCAATGCCCACATGGAGAATGACAGTGCTTAAACTGTTTTTGAAGAGAGAGACTTACTTTCGGTATTCGCCTCCACTCACTTTGATTGTTCTCTTTCAGCTGCTTTTATTATCATTATTTTTTGCGTGATAAAAAAGTTGTGGAAAGGTCAAGTTTTAGATAATGAGTTGTTGTTTTCGTTCCATGATGGGGGTGATTTTAACCTAATTTTTTATTTGAATGACTCTACCCGTATTTAAGTTACTATTTACCCGATAGATATTCCCCATGTAGTTATATTGGATCTAAGACTTTGTTCTAGATATTCCAATTTTAGCTCTTTCTCGTGATTCTAATTTTAAGTGACGTCACAATAGTTACATGCTACTGTACAATTGAATAATATTTTTCTTTTGTTTTTCCATGCACTTCAATAAATATTGCATTGAAATCTAAATAAATACTTATCAAATATGATCTTGCCACAAATGTCTATCTTAATCTAAATGATGATTTCAGACAAGCCACGCATTGATGTGGGTGCCATCAAAGATATTGTAGTGAAAGCAGGCGAAGAGTTCTCAATTACAGTTCCATTCACTGGTTTTCCTAAACCGTCTGCCACCTGGACAAAGAATGACAAAGACATCGATGACACGGACGCCAGGATATTCTTGAAGGTGGTTATTATATTTTAAAGAATCATTTTTAAGTAATTGCATGAATGATTTGAGTTTCTGAATTAAGTTATTTTGATAGCGATTAAAAATTCCACGTTAAATCTAATTTGGCACATGTGATTAAAGGTAAAGCCTTACCGCGAAAGAAAATTTTTGTCGTTCAGACAGAGAAAGTCAGAAGTTCAGACAGAGTAAGTCATAAAATTTCAGTTGCTGAAAAAAATACTTCAACATATTAAAAGGCAAACAAATTAATCAGAAGATAACTTCTCCGTTGCGTAATCATAAGTTAACATCTCATCATTTATTTTTCTCTTCAGTATTTGAAACTTCATGGCTTAATCTAGGTTTGTCTGAACTCACACACTTAAAATTAATAACGAAGAAGAAAGAGAAAAATTATTCTCTGTCCTTTTTAAGTTGCCATGCCTTCATTCAGTTTTACAACTTTTTAGCGTGTGAACATTTTGAAGTATGTGACACTATATAATTAAGTGAGTTCTCAGTTTTACACAACAACTCTTGATGTTGGTTATGACAATTATAGCTCTTCGCAATCTAAATTTAATAAATATATTTCATCAGAGAAATGAAGCAGAGTAAATCTAAACTTATTTTTATTTTCTAAACTAACGTTGCCATCCAAAAAACTATGTACAAAATGATGGTAAATATCTAATACAAGAATTGATTATAGGTGGCGCTTTTGAAACTAGTTGCCAACGCAACAGTAGCATTCTGATTTAAATATTTTCTCAAAAAAATCCCATAACTGGGCATTACATTTATCTTGATAGGTACCAAGTATGCACTTAGAAGAAGGGTGGGGGTGAAAGGTTGATTAAATTTTTTAAAAATTGGAAAAAGTTCTTTAATATTAGGGTGATTTCATTACAAACATTTTTCGCAAACATTAGTTTTACGATTAACTCTATTCCTCATTGTGAAAAATGTGCTTTTAAAAAACCGTATTCAAAATTCTACAACTAATTACAATCTAACGCTGTAATGCTCAAAATTATAATATCACTCATATTTTATTTCCAGTTTGATATATAAAGAGATCTCTTTTTGGTAAAACATTAAATGATGCAATTATAAATGAGAATCTAACAATAACTATTTATGTAAATAAATGAAATTTTAAAAAAAGGTTAAGACTCTATGCCTCACTCAAAAAATAACCAAATAAAATGATCACAGTCAATGACTTCTTTTCTTGTTTGAAGTAACAGGCAAGAAATTTAATTCGAATCGTGTGTAATCCTGAATAAGTTAATTATTTATTAGAAGAAAAAATTTATTTCCATTCTTTTTTTTGGATAGTTTTGTTCGTCATGATTTTCACGATCTCGAACATTTTATTTACTGTCTTTAGATGACAAATGGTTTACTTTAATAATATCATTTAATCAGCAATTGTGGATTTCATGAACATAACTTATTTTTTTTCTTCAAAATTTTCAGATCGTCTTCAATTCAACTCGTCAGTTTAATTGCAATATCACGTGAAAAGAAATATCGAGAATACTAACAGAATTATTAAACTTATTTAACCATCACAAAGCAGTTGTAGAGTTAAAATAAAATCAGGAAGTTCAAAAGAAGGAAGCGGATTGTTTTTAGGGTGATGCAGCATTTTTCTTCTCCGTTTCTTATTTTTTCGACTGATTTGCATCTCTAAAATCCTTTCTTGTAAATCAAAACTTCCAAATGACTGAAATAATTTCTACGATTTTACAACAACTATTGTTGGTTGAAATTTAAACAAGTTTCTCATACGTTTCAATAGCGTAAAATAAATTAAAAATGGCAACGCTGGCTTAACTTAAGATGTTTTTGAAAACCTATGAATTAAATTGTAATAAGTATAACAAAAAAAATGACAGTTTTTAAAAATGCAAAATTTTCTTGCGAAAATGGCAAACATTTTGTGCAGTTTATATAAAAAAGTTAAAATTCTGAAATAATGTTTAACTAACTAGCAGAGTGTTGTCGAACTATTTTGCTGCTTCTCTTACTTAAACACGCCTGAAACTTTTCTCCGCATAATTGCCAACAAATGAGAAAGTCTGAAGGGCTTGTATTAAAGTTCTAAGAAATATTATAAATGAATGTTATTTCTTTTCGTAGGTGAGCGACACAAATGCCGTATTAGCAGTTACAAATGCAAAGAGAGACGATACAGCGACTTTCAAGGTTCATCTTAAAAACAAATCTGGATTTGATACCTGTTACTGTAGAGTCACTGTCCTAGGTATGTTTTTACTTACCTCGGAAAGATATGTATTTACTTACCTTCAAAAATATCAAATAGAAGGTGCCAAAATATATTTTAGTATCACCCTATTCATTTCAATCAGGGGTCTGTCCAGACATTTTGTGAAAAGTCCGGTTTTTGTCAGCTTTTATGAATTTGTGCAAATAGGGTCCGGTTTTTAAAAAAACTTTTTCAAGGAGTTTTTAAATTGTAAATAGTTACAAGATTATGCTCAGCACTATAAAATTATAATAAAAACAAAATTTTAAAAAAATAAACAGCAATTGCTTCTAAATTAGAGATGCAACAATGCAATTAATTGGTATTTAGCCTATACTGCTGAACGCAGAATATTCATTTGCGACGAATAATGGAAGAATCGTCTTCCGAAGGCAAAACCTAATTCGTTTACATCCATCTTTCTGGTTTTCTGCACTGGAAAGAGTTTATTCGATTAACAAAACAATAATGAGGATAAACAAATTTGTGAAGGGTTCGTTTTTATGAAAAGATATTTTGTGAAGGACCCAAATTTCTTCTAAACAGACCCCTGTTTCAATACAAAATTATAACTGCATGATACAGTTGTTCGGGATCTTAAACGTGTTGCCACATCATAAATATCATGATATATGTAGTATTAGTATATTTGGCACCTATTAAAACAGCTACCATAACATCAATAATACCAAATTTAATGAAGCACCATTGGCACATAGATGAAANATTTTAAGAAATAAACAGCAATTGCATCTAAATTTAACAATGCAAATATTTGGTATTGAGCCTATACTGCTGAACGCAGAATATTCATTTCCGACGAATAATGGAAGAATCGTCTGCCGAAGACAAAACTTAATTCGTTTACATCCATCTTTCTGGTTTTCTGCCCTGGGAAGGGTTTATTCGATTAACAAAACAATAATGAAGATGAACAAATTTGTGAAGGATCCGATTAAAAGATAAACCATTTTGTGAAGGACCCAAATTTCTTCTAAACAGACCCCTGTTTGAATACAAAATTATAACTGAATGATGCAGTTGTTCGGGGTCTTAAACGTGTTGCCACATCATAAATATCATGATATATGCATTGGTATATTTTGCACCTATTAAAACAGTTACCATAACATCAATAGTACCAAATTTAATGAAGCACCATTAGCTTCAAGAATGTAATGGTGATGTTTTTACAGTTCTTCTAAACGAATTAAATAACTTTCCGCCAATCATCTTGAATAGTTGGAGAAAAGTAACATTTTTCTATTTCTATAACCAATTATTATTTAATTTGAATTTTTTTTTTTAGTTTTACATGAACACATTTTAAAACTATTGCTATAAAAAAAATAAACACGTAGTTTCATATAACCGTTTCAGGGACATGTCATCCACGCTGATGGTTAGACGAAGAAAAACTATGTAGAAGAGCTGACAAACACCACTGATATACTATTAAAGTTTAATTTAAAGCAAAAGTTAATCTTAAAACCAAATGTTATAATTCCATTCTCTCAAACAATCTGAACAAAATTTTTGATGATTTTTTATTTAGGATGCTAAAATTTCATATATATATATCCTCGTTATATCCTTGTTTCTTTACCAGAGAGTATTGTCCGCAACATTTAAAAACTTTGTCTTTGCTTGACAATTCGTGTTGTGATTCCTAAGCGGAAAGTAGAAAATGTCATTATTCATTNATATATATATATCATATATATATATATATATCCTCGTTAGATCCTTGTTTCTTTACCAGAGAGTATTGTCCGCAACATTTAAAAACTTTGTCTTTGCTTGACAATTTGTGTTGTGATTCCCAAGCGGAAAGTAGAAAATGTCATTCATTCATGTGACAAAGCTCTTTTTTTTTCCATAGAAATATTTCGCGAAGCATGATAATGTTTTTTAACGGCAGGCACTGAACTTCTTCACTTCGGCAGATGCCGGAAGCGTTGCTCATTTAACCCAGTGGGCACCTGTGAACATGAGTCACGAAGGCGAGCCACATTACACACTGCCACACATACCCGTTCCTAGGACCACATTCACACAACAGAGAACAACACACACAAGAGAGGATAACATCCATGCCCTGAGTGGCATTCGAACCCGCAGCCACTGGCTTCACAGTCTGGCACCGCTGAGCGCTCAGCCACCTAGCCGGTGCGCATAAGTATATTATTATTGCTTTGTTAAAGCTATTGCGAAATTATTTTGATTTTAATACTTCTTCTCATTTTCCTTTACTCCACCCATGATGAGTCAATGCAAATCCATAATAACGTTTCTTATTTATACTTAAATGACTGATGTAAGACATCATGTTGTTTCGATAGAAATTTTAATGAATTTTGTGGATTCATGTAATACTGTATTTAATTTAAAATAGAATTTTCATAATAAAGTGATGAATCGTTTCAATAGATAAACCAACGTCACCCGAGAATGTTCACGCGGAGGAGATCGAAGGTGAATCTCTCACTCTATGCTGGAATCCACCGAAGGACAATGGAGGTGCTGAAATCACTAATTACGTGGTCGAGAGGAAGGAGGTCGGCACTCTCACGTGGGTCAGGGTGTCCAGTTTCGTGACTGCGACAGCCTGCCGTGTCCGAAACTTGGTGATCGGAAAACAGTACGATTTCCAGGTGATGGCTGAAAATCAACATGGAACCAGCGAACCAGGAAAGACACGAGAACCCATCCTCGCTAAATTACCCTTTGGTAAGTTATTTAACTCTTCTGTTTTCAGAACCAACTGATATGCATGATTTAAAATGAAGCGAAATAGGAACGGATCGAAGTTATTAAAAACAGTTTTTCTCGACCCACTGGTGATTTAGCAAATTGGGAAGAATGGCTCTCTCCTGTACACTCTATCTAATAACCAGTAAAAATCAGTTTTGCTGTGCGTCTACATCAGGCCGGGATGGCCTGGTAGGTAGGGTACTGGGCCCATGTCCAAGAGGTCGTGGGTTCGATCCCCGCCGGCCGAAGACTCCCCGTGTAGTAAATGGTGACTGATGCACATTAAATTTGTCGAGTTACTAAGTCTTCCATGTTCCCATAAAAAAATCAATACCTCTGACGGTACTGATCCAGGAGTTTCCTTGTCTTCTGGATTGGTTCAAAATGACAAGGCTCCGGAGTTGAACAAGAGTAGTCATAAACCCAAAATGAGGTCGGCTGTTCAACAACGAATGAAAAGAACTTAAAAAGTACGACTTTTCTACGTCCAGAGCCGTCAGAGGGTTAAAGATGAAGCTTCGACGGCTCAGGATGGGTGAAAGGAAAGAGCTTTGCGAGCACGTACTGGACCAAACTATTTTTACCGTTAAGCCAAATTTCATTTAAGAATTCACACAAAAATGAACGAAGCAGAAATGTATTTTATCATCTGAATGGACTGTCATAAAACCACTTGAAAAAACTGCTTCCTTGATAATCCCGAGTTAATGTGGGCATTGCAAATACATCGAGAAAAACTCTGGCGTCTTTTATCACAATTTTGTGATTCGAAGTCTTGCAGTTGGATTGTGGGTGTTTTTATGCGATGGTTGCTGAATTTACATAGAATGTGTTGTCCCTTATTTTAAAAACTATCATACAAGGACTCATATTTAACTTGCTCGAGGATAACTCAGGGAAATAAACTGATGGAAAATTAAACGTTTTTTGCGCATTAAAAAACATTGAAATTTCAAATTAAAACGTGTGTATTCTGTTTTATTTTAGTTCTTTGTATTTATTTATAAAATAAAAAAATATATTGATTTTTTGTATTTTTTTTCCTTCAAAGATATTGGTGAGGGACGCGGTTAAACTGAAAAAAAAAACATCTTGCAAATACTGACACTAACTCCCGCGTGAAACGGCAAACATTCCATCCATTTCCTACTCCGGAAAAATATCTAACTAAGTCCGCTAACTCATTCACTTGTTCGATTCTCCCGAATGAATGCGTGCAGCTGATGAAATATCCGGAAACAAATAAAAATAATACTCCAAATAGAAAGCGTAATTTCGAAATTATAACAGACTTCAACCGCCGTTCAATCGTTTAAGAATAATAGGATGCGCAGCTTTTTTAAAAAAGGTGCTTATTTTTGATTTATGATTTTTAAAAGCTCTTAAAGGTGCTTTTTTCATTCGGGGTTTGTAAAAAGTACTTATTTTTCTATCTTGTCAAAAGAGATTTATTTTTTCTTTGTCATATCACGAGGGTCGTTCTACATTACAAAAAAATTCGTGATGTTAAAATTTTCTCTGCACTATTTATCAGGAACTAGTTATACCATTCATGATTATGCGAAGTTTTTGAAAATGTTTATGACTTTTATTGATTTAATGTTTGTGCGAAATAAATACTTTAAACGATAGAAAAAAAATAAGTTTTATGACTGCACATATCCTAATACATGATCCGTCTGCCCAAGGATATTTTACGTCAGCACTGCGGTTGGTGAGCGTGGTGTGGGAAATTCGACTAGCATCGCTGGGGGTTGAACCTGTCACCTCATTGGACGGTCATGCACCCCTGTGCCTAATTGTGATGTTTTTTTTTTAGAAAGTGATTAAAAAAATTTTTTTTTAATGCTTAAGAAAGTACTTTAAAGGTGCTTATTTTTTGTTGGTAAATCTGGCTACTCACCCTGAATAAGAACAAAACGTTCCAAATTGAAATCATGGATTCTGATATAGGATAGTGCATGTAGTGAGGGAAGGATTGAAAGAAGGATTATAAAAAGGAATTTAATTCTTGTGAATTTCAGACCCCCCTGGTGCCCCGGGTGTACCTCAGTCTGTGGATACATCTGTTGATTCCATCACACTGAGCTGGCAGAAACCGAGAGATGATGGTGGAAGTGCCATCATTGGATATGTCTTGGAGAAACAAGAGAAGGGGAAGGAGAGGTGGGTGGCCGCCTGTCAAACTACCATTACAGAACAAACTTTCCGTGTCACCGGACTGAAAGAGAACCAGGAGTACATGTTTAGGGTGTGTGCCCTCAATGCTGCCGGACAAGGTCCCTTCAGTTCTGGATCCGATGGAATCTTCGCTAGACCACCTCCCTGTAAGAGACTCTCTATACTATAATAATGTCTGTATACTATGAATGTGTTATACTTATTATTTTTAACTCCCTGACAGGCTCGCCTAAAATAAGTGCTGGATTCAGCTTACGAGACATGACAGTTCAAGCAGACGAAGAATTTACATTGAGAGTGCCTTTCAACGCATTCCCAGTACCCACAGCCACCTGGACTATTGTAAGTACATCTAAATTTCAAAATATAGTGGATTGGTTTGTTTTTTTTTTTCAGAATAGGCTTTATTGTCATACTTTGCAATGGTCTGTTTAGAAGAAATTTGGGTCCGTTAATGGACCCTTCACAAAATATCTTTTCATAAAAACGGATCCTTCACAAAATAATTTGTCTTTTAAGCGGACCTTCACAAATTCGTTTATTTTCATTATTGTTTTGTTAATCGAATAAACCCTTCTCGGGGGGAAAAAAAAGAGAAAGACTGTTCGGAACGAACTAAGTTTTCAAAGTTTCCGTTAGTTTAAATTTCAAATGTAGTATTCTAAGAAAATATTTCTACTTTTACAAACATCGTGTGCACATTCTTATTGATATTAAATGATGATTTTTTTTGCAAATAAATAATAGATCCATTTATGCAAGAAATGAATGAATAGAATTGTATGCAAATAAAATTTAATTTCTGGCAATATTTTTTAAGTAAAATATTATAAATTTAAGAATTGTTTAAATTGACTTAATGCGTAACACATTAAAAGTGATACATTACTAAGTTGTGTTATTTAAAATATGTCATTTGAAATGATTAAAAATGCGAATGATTTGGTTTCCATTATTCGTCCGAAACGAATATTCTCTGTTGAGCAGTATGAGCTAAATACCAAATATTTGTATGTTGCATCTCTATTTTTGTAGCAACCATCGTTGAGCAGAATCTTGTATCTATTTACAATTTAAAAAATTCTTAAAAGTTTTTAGCAATTTTTGCAATAACAGGACCCTATTTGCACGCATTCACAAAAGCAGGACCCTGGTTGAAAGAATGTGACTTAACGCTTATTTTATATTCACAAATTATAAGTAGTTTTTTCAGAATTTTACAAAAACAGGACCTTTCACAAAATGACTGGACAGGCCCCTGCTTTGAACAATTAACTTGTGAATCAAAACATTTTATGAACTATCTATATTTAACGGCCATGAGAGCGAAATTTACTTGGCCAGGTGAAAAGTGTTTTATAAAGTCAATTGAACGATACATTTAAAATAATAATGCTAGTAACAGAAAGGAAAGGTAATGCAACATCCTTTTATATTGTTAAAACTTTATTTTCTCAGAATACAATAAATGTAACGACCATTTTTAAATGGCTACCTTACTTAAAAATAGCCATTTTTTGACATTTAAACGGAAGATTACAATAATTATGGTAACAGAGTGGATTAAGAAGGACATTAAACTGTTCGATTTTTACTTGAAAGTAATTTTAAAACTGTATATTAGATAAGCTGCGCATCGTATTACATATAATACAATGTTCACACAACTAGTTAAATTAAAATTATTTTCATTGAACTGTTGGTTAAATTATAGTTAATATAGGAGGCTGAGCAGTTTAGTTGCACCTGACGTATTAAAATGGCATTGGGTGCACTAATAAGTTCCCGTCGTTGGTCACAAGATGTCATTGCCAGAAGGTTATGTAGAAATCTGTTAAACGTCTTACAGTAAGTTTGTTCATTTAGTAACAACATAACCTTAAAGTATTTGTGATTCCGTATTAGTATTAACCAATTGTTTTCGTGCCAAATAAAAGTCATTTTTGATTTACTCCCTTAATTTAAAGAAATCTGCAGTTGAGGAGCATCGATTGCTTGGAGAAACATAGAATGCTTAAGTGAAAGAAGTTGTCGTGAAGAGTTTCAGAAGATCAAAAAGGTGGCGTGGAATGAAAGGCAGAAATTGTATGAGGACAAGGAATTGGAACAAGGTTCGTGCAAACGCAAGAACTTGCATTATAAAAAACTCAGCGAGCAATCTCATATCGCTTAAAATTGTCCAAAAAGAAGGAAGTTCGGTTCCATATTAACTGAAGCAAAGAGACATTGAACGTCGATTTTGCGTGAAAATTGATTTTGAAAACACTTCGATGGAAAGTTCTACCCCACCTTCCTTATTCGCCTGACCATGCCCTTTCAGATTATCACCTGTTGCGGTCTATAACACATGGTCTTTGTGAGTAGAAAATTTATAGAAATTATTGGAAGGAATGGGTCGATCTATGGAAAGAGGAAGAGTTTTTCCAAATGCTCTCAGAAAGATGGAGAAAAAGTAGTGTCTCGTGATGGAAAATACTTTGAATTAAAGATAATAGTTTTCACAATAAACTGCTAATTTTTTATGGAAAATGGCGGAAACTTATTTGTACTCCCAGTAATATACAGCCATTATTTTTTAAATACTCATTTTTATGTATCTACATTTGCTAAAAAAACATCGAGTAAATTAATATGTTTAAAAAGGGTCACGTAGAATTTTGATAATTAAAATGGGATCTTTAATCATGTTTTGAACTTTTCAGAATGGTAAAGCATTAGTGAAAACGGATCGAGTTTATAGTGAGATCAATGTCGCTTTTACAGTCCTCATCAATAAAAAAGCAAAGAGAGATGATTCTGGCTCTTATACTTTGACTCTAAAGAATCAGCACGGCACCGATAATGCATCCTGTAGAGTTCTTGTAGTGGGTGAGTACATCCTGCTGGCTTCATTCCCTCATTTTATGATGGCTAATATGAGTTCTTTATCAGAAACTAGTTATTTTTATCATGTAAAGTCTTTGAAAATAATTTTGCATTTTATTAATGTATATAGTGCTTAAAAAGGGTACTTAAAAGATGCTAAAGTGTACTTGAAGAATTGGCTACGCACTGTGTTACAGTATCAATTGCATCCTCAATTTTAGATAAACCAGGACCACCAGAAGGACCACTGGAAGCATCTGATGTGACACCCGAGACTTGCTCGTTATCGTGGAGACCACCCAAGGATGATGGAGGTAGTTCCATCACCAACTACGTGGTCGAGAGACAAGAGGCAAACTCTCAAGTAAGTGTATTCCTGGTGAATCTCTGCAATTTGCAGGAAGAAAGTTTTTAATATTTTGTTTTGTATTAAAAAAGTTATTAAAGAAATTATTAATATATTAATCCAGGAAGGCACTCCAAAACATTTAGAGTGAAGGCAATGCTTTGCTTGCTGTTATATGGGTGATTCTTTGGAAACATGACAAAACGGACCAAAAACTTTCTTCAAATTTAAAGTTCTCAAAATAATCTGATTTTTTTCGTATACTTCCTTAGTTGCATTTATTAATATCTTATAGACAGCAGTGTAGTTTATTGACATTTGTTCGAGAAAAAAAATAAAATAGAAATTCATCAAATCTTGAATGTCAGGAAAATGACATATTAGCTTAGAAGTTTAAAAAACAGTAATTTTAAGTTAATAGTAAGTAACTCAACTTAAGCCTTTATGTTAGATGAACCATAGATTGCTTAAATTAATTCTTTTTATCCACTGTAGAAGGAATCAAAAAAATTTTTGGTGCTGAAATGTACAGAATAAAATTGTGTATAATAATCAATCATTAAATAAATAAATAACTTTGATTACATTCAAGCCTATTACAATCATGCATAAACTTGGTTAATATTTCCTTTCCCTCTTTATAATATACTGTTTAAAAAGTTTTCTGGTAACTCGTCTATGTCCTGGCATTCATAAACCAGGAAAATGACAGCCAGGATAATGACAATGACACATTTGCCATTTTATATTAACATTAATATATTAGCATTTTAATTTAACATTTTGGCCCAAGACGTTTACATTCCACAGAAAACAACAGGATTTCTTGAAATAACTCAGATAAATCCATGTAGTTTATGTTATTAAGGATTTTAAGAAGACAGGAAAATGACAACATAAAAACCTACTCACTTTGAAAAATTTTTTGAAATAGATTTTGAACCAGAAAATTGGTTCTTTATTCATGCAACAAGACATGTTAAGATAGGAGGGTATATAATCAATCCATTAACATAAGATATTGATTGCTGACTCTATATCTATTTTGGTTATAAATCACTAAATAAAAGTAGCCAGGAAAATGACAGATTTTCATGTGACAAACGAATTATGGGCAGACAAAATTGTTTCAAACTAAGTTTTAGTAAATAATACGCTCTGCGTATATTCTAGAAATGCTTACAACGGTTGAGATACAAAAAATTAGATATTGAAAAATTTATGGGAAGTTTTGAAGCTAGTTATTATTGGAAATATTGTTTGTGACATACCAGAAACATGACATTTTGAAATTCAATTAAATTTTTTAACTGTACAAAACAGTCAATGCAAGTGCAAAGTCATTTTGAAATGCCAACAACAGCAATTATTTTTTTTAAAGTTATTTTAGCACTATAGTATTAGATCTTGGAGCAAGGGACTGTGAATTATCATATTTCGTGAGAATTTCCCAAATACTGAAAACATTTAACAAGTTTGATGATTATTTTCTTCCCTTTTCTAAATTCAAACCAAAACAGTTCATTTCAATATTTTTCTTTCATCATAAACATAATGATGCAATAGTTTTGGATTTTTTAAATAACCCGTTGAAAAGTTCACTCTATTTAAAAGTAAATCATTATTCATGAAATAAAGCATGTTTTTCGAATTATAATGTAGCGTTGAACCTTGTTAGGAGACAGAAGAGCAAATCACGCAAAGCAGACATATTTTATTAAAAGTAAGAGCGATAAAGGACAAAAGTATACACATAGTCCATCTGCATTTGAGGGTGGATGATTAAAGGTATTGATTTAAAACCCAATATGTTTATCCTTATCTGTGTCGTTAGAAAAATCGTTTGAGATAAGAATTCTATGAAAAAGTTATGATTTTAGATGTATTTTAAAGATATTTCTGACACATTAATGCTTTAAATGCAAATGATACTGCCTATATCTCTATGTTTTATAGACATCAGATGTCAATGAAAACTTTGTTTGATATGTCATTACGATCAAATTTAGTAATAGACAAAAATCAGCACACAACTGAGTCATTTCATCGCATTATGATGCAATTATGATACGCATTAGTAATACACTTTATGATAGACATTATGATACAATAATAATTTGAAACAACTAGAAATTTTTACGTCAGTTCTTAAAACATTATTTCTATCGATTTCCATATAAAAATGGAGTACAATATCACATAAAAACATGATTTAATCCAACTCATCCCCCCCCCCAAAAAAAAATTATTTTTAAAAGTGATTTAAGTTTTTGCCTTAAGGTATTGAAACTTTTTTCTCCTAAAAAAATATATGTTTGTTGAAAAATTTGACCTAGTTTAAAATGTCTGTTGCCAGAGAGTTGACAGTTTTACTCACTATTTTTTCCCTTTCTTATAAAAAGAAATTTGTAGTATAATATTTAAAATTATAGTATTTAGTTGATTCTTGCAAACACAAAAGTGATACAACAAACGTTTTTATTTTGTACGTAAAATTCTACTTCAATAAAAATAAAAAAAAAATTTAAAATGTCAAATAAAATCGAATTGTAAATTAGTTAAAAGTTAAGCATTGGTCTGCAGGGATTTACAATAAAATACCGATATGGTACGTATGTTAAAGAATTAAAAAAAAAGGTTTATTTTAATTTTAAAAACAGACGTTTGCGTTAAAAAAAGGACGTTGAGAAGAGGTTCAAAGTGTTTTGTGAGAACTTACTACTGCTTTTAGATTTTCATTCTAAATTCATTAGTAATTCTTGAATGGAAGGACAAACATCTGCTCTTCTTGGTGGTTTAATACCACTAAAAAAGGCTAATATTGCACCAAAATAGGGTGATAATTCGTGAGAACATGTTATTTTGACAAGTTATTCAATTATCTAAATGACCCCGATAATTTCAAAATATAGGATTTTCTATTCGTCTCTTTAAAGACTCGGGGTCTTCTATTTTGGTAAGACCTGGTTATTTACCATTTTTCTGTCAATTTTCCGCTCATTACCCTTTGTTATAAATATGAAAACGAAATTTTTTTTAGTTTTTTACTTTATCTAATAGGGATCACGTGATTCAAATTTGAGATGTTTGTAAAACCTTGCTGTCCTAAAATATCATTTTGTTAGTATTTCAATAAATATCGAAATGAATTTTTTTTGGTTTTTCTTATAGAACCATCTCGGATTCAAGTGTGAGGCCGCATTACTTTCAATGAGGCTAATTACTTTACATAAAATGGATACAAAACTTTGAAAGTTTAAAACTTTCTATTCAAATTTTAGGCTTCTCCTCATAATAAAGAAGTGGCGTCACTTAAACTTATTAATACTTAATTACAATTTATACTTAAATGCTTAATTACAAATTATCGTATAAGACGTTGATGATAGATATCGATCTATATTGAAGGTGTGGACGAAGCTGAGCAGTTACGTTCGTGGATGTCACTATGAAGTGATTGGACTGGAACACAAGAAAAAGTACCACTTCAGAGTAAGAGCTGAAAACAAATATGGCGTCGGTGCTCCACTCGACACAGACCGTCTCCTCACGGCTAAATTCTCATTTGGTAACACTCTACTTCTCACTTTACTTATTTTACTTCTGACACATTTAAAACAAATGGTTATATGTACTCAAACATTTTAACAGTTTCGAAAATTAACTTACTGACCACAGTTGTCTATCTAAATTGCATGAAATTAAATGTCCTTAGAAAACATTTTTAACAATGAGTGAACAATCGTTTCACATCATAGTTTCAAATGTCAAGAAGTTCAAACTGCTTGACACGACAGACTCTCTGTGCGCGTATATATA